GGGGGAGAGAAGGTTGTTGGAATATTGTATTGTATTGTATTATATCAATATAGTACGTATACTAATTCTTTATATTACGTTATATGTATTCTTCTTATTCTTATTACGTAGGTAGGGTAAGAACTTGGAACGTGAATGTATGTTCTTGTCCGTATGTCTCCTTACATGAATTTACTACTATCTCAAATGTCGGACGACAGGATATCTAGCTATGGGATAGAGAAATTTACTAGTGGATATTGTAGGTTATTATGATAGGAATGGAAGTCGGTAGCTTAAATAAGTAGACTGGATTATAGAGAATAATAAACCGGCTTAGCGAGAGTTAGGAGCGGGTTAGAGATTATAATAGATTAAGATAGATAAGTACGGTTAAGATATGTTATAGCACGTGGATTTAGGGGAGATTTTAATGGTTGATGGAATGTTGGTGTATTAATAGATATCGTGATTTATCAGGGTATTGTATGTAAATTATCGAGGTCTGCGGGTGAATGATGGGGGGTAGAGATAAATGGTATTTAAAAATCGACAATAATATATAAAGAATAGTTAGTTCAGGCAAAGAACTAATAACAACGCAAGAGGTTATCCTACAGCTTCTCTGTGCTATGAATAGAAGATTGATATAACCGAGATCTGACTAATGAACACCGTCAAGTTCTTGTTCAAGTGTAATACTGGTAGTGTCGCGACGTAAATCTGGATTGGTGATTAGCGAGTTAGCGAGACTTTGAGATGTGAGGATGGATGCGAGGGTTGGATACGGATGGATCCAATTTCCGCGGAGATAGCGGAGGGGTGGTTGTTGTGATGGCTGAATTTTGAAAGGGGTTGTAGGATAATGGGGCGAGATTAGTGAGTGGAATGATGGCTAGGAAGGTATAGCCTTAGCTATTGGTGGGGTTAGGGTGAAGTTGGGCATGGGTTTGGAGAGAGATGCTTTGGTGGTTGGAAAGGGGAGTGGGCTGAGCGTGATAGTGAGTGGGTTTGCTGAGGGAATTTAGGCGGGTTATTAGGTGGTTTTCTGGGTTGAAAAGGTGCTCTTTAGTGATCCTGGGATAGAAAACGGGTAGGAAGGTTTCTTTACCCTTCTACCAGAATTTCTGTTTGGATGTTGGGAGATGGTGGGTTGGGACTATCTAATGGGGTTCTCTGCTGTCTTTTTCGAAAGGAGCTACTTTTCATGAAAATAAAATTACAACGAATGTATTCAGGACTTCAAGCGGAACGGAATTAATAAATAACCTTATCCAGAAATTAACATACCTACCCCGCGTTTCTCAGAAGTGATCTTGTATTGACGAATAGTTTCATGTTTCAATCCATGTTTCATACTCTTGAAATGAGGTGTTGTTTTGCCAATAATAGAATCTCGCTTATATTTACCCCGCGTTTTTTTTTCTTCACGAAATTCTCGAATGTTCATTTTGTAATGCCATCGTACGAAGAAGAAGTTTGACGAAATGGAGCTTTGGAATTCTAATCTCGGTATGAAACGGAGCTTGTTGATTGATACTTGGAAGCTTTGAGCTATTTTGCATGACCTTTCCTAGTGGTCCCCGTGAAGCGATTGTGTAGTCTACAATGACTTTGAAGATGTGTGGATATGCACTCTTGCACATACTCCTTCAAGAGTGAATCAATATTAATCCTAACCCTAAGGAGTACACGAGATTTAATCATTTGACCCGTTTCTTACTCACTAATCAATAAACTCTCTATTTAAGACACCAAAGAAACCCCTCATACATTATTACCCACAAACACCATCCTCAAAACCCAACAACTCAACCCCCCCCCCCCTTCACAATGGCAGAAAAAGAGCTCTCACCAATCCAGAGGAGCACCTCCATCGATTCAAGCCAAGAATCCTCCCCACGAAGCAGCACCAGCACCTCCACCCACTCCACAACCCGCCACTGCCGCGTCCCCAGCATCGGCAGCAAAATCCCTCACCTCCCTCACCTCCCGCACCTCCCCCATCTCCCACACTCCTTCCAAAAGATCCTCACCCCCAAAACCCCCGCCCCAACACCCCTCCGTCTACGAACCGACTCCGACGCCTCCGCACCCCCTATCCCCGACCTCCCACCCGACCGTCCAGAATTCAGCTACCTCTCGCCCATACGAAAAGTGCCCTCCCTCCCTTCCACGCACAAAGTCCTGAATACACATACAAACACAAGTACACATGTGAATACAAATCCAGGCCACCACGTAAAACACAAAGGCCTAACCTCCGTCTGGAAATGCTTTCACTGCGGTCGGAATCTACCATATATGGGTGTACCTCCTGGACCCTTTCCCAAGTGCTGTGGGGAGGAGATGCAACCGCCCGAGGGATGTAATTTGAGGGTTTGCGAGACGTGTCGGTTGCAGGAGATTATGTTTGATCCCGAGAAAGGGGAGTATCGGTGTAGATGTGGGGGGTGGATGGTGCATAGTTGGAGGATGAACGGGGGGTAAGTTTTTCTTCTTCTTTTTTGTTCTTCTGTTTTTTGGAATGGGAAGGGGATTGTGGTCGTGGTTGTGGGATTGTGGGACTATGCTGAAATTTCTATTTTCTAGATGGGATGAGGAGGATGAGGAGGAGGTGGTGGATAATTCCGAGGATTTGGAGGCTATGGAGGTTATGGAGGTTACGAGGGTGATTCAGGAGGTTTTGTGATGGGTTCCTCTTGCGGGTGCTTGGCTTGGAGGTGCTGAGTGAGGAGTTCTGTATGTTTTTCTGTTTTCATGGAGATCGGAAGGGTGGTTTCTTGGATGACGAGGATGCAGAGTTGAAGAGGTAGATTGCGTTTGGGCATTTGTGGCGTTAGGCGAGTAAATTTGGTCGGCAGTTCTGGGAGCGTACTAAAATGGCTCTTTGATGGACTGGCACAGAGTTCTGGGATCGTAGAGAAGAGGATCATCTGGGATGACTGGGAAAGAAGATGAGAGGCAGGAAGACGACTATTAAGATTGGAATCCATCTGGTTCAGAAAGTTGGGGACAGATGTGGGAGAACCAGATAAGAATGTGTATACATTACTTGAATGTATTCAAAGTTGACAATGGAAAGGGGTTCGCTTAAGCTTTTGATACGCTTGTGAAGATGTGCTTACGGAGTGATATAAAATACCTCTATTGCACTTTTCATTTATTGCTTAAATGTAATTGAGCTCTTTTTCTTGTATACCTATACTTAACCGCCCATGTTTTTGAGCTGAAGGATGCAGCTGGTGAGATTAGGTTACTTGCGCAAAACACATTTCTGTGGACTCTGAGGGATCTGCTATCTGATTTCTTCTCCCGATAGACAGCTTTAAGATTAAAAACAGCTAGGTTTGGAGTCCTTCTTGAGCAACCTGTGATCTTCTCCAAGTCTAGGCCATGAGGTGGGCATGAGATAAGCTACTGTACGAGTATCTACATTATTTACGAAATGCCAAGACTTCTCAAGTTTTCCCTCATTGTGTTTTGGTAAATTCTAGGAAGTATACCCACAAAATTCAAAGGAAGAATTATCACACTTCCGCATTCAACAAATGATTTCATTCAAGCCTCGGTCTCTTGAAGTTCCCAAAACAGCCACTAGAGCACACAAGCGGGGTCAGCGGGGCAAGGTAACCTTGAAGCCGCAGAACCCCCGCTATTACTGTATCGTAAAATCCTATCTTAGAATGTCAATCCCGAAATCTCTACTGTGCCTCAGAATTCTCCCTTATCGTCCCTCTCTGGTGCTCTCATCTTTCTTCATCTCACACTCTCAAATCCCCC